TTTGAATCCTGTGTCCTTCCTTCTTTCTTCTTCCTCCTTCTTCTTCTTTTTTTTTTTTTTTGGTGCTACTGGGAATTCAGTCAGGGGGCTGCTTTATCACCAAGCTCCATCCTCTGCCCTTTTTATTTTTTGAGACAGGGTCACTATAAATTGCTTAAGGACTCATTAAATTGCTGAGGCTGGCCTTAAACTTGCATTACTCCTGCCTCAGCCTCCCTAGACATTAGGATTATAGGTGTGGGCCACCACACCCAACTTTTATAATCCATTTTATTTCTATAAGGTTAATAGTGATGTCCTCTTTTACTCCCCTGACTCTCTTTTGTGGTACTGGGGATTTAATCCAGGGGTACTTTACTACTAATTGTACCCCTAACCCTTTTATATTTTTATTTTGAGACAGAGTCTCACTAAATTGGCCAGATTAACCTTGAATTTGTGATCCTCCTGCCTTCTAAATCATTGGGATTATTGGCTTGCACTACCATGCCAAGCTGTGGACATGTCTTTTCATTGCTGATTTTGTTGATTCTATTTTTCTTATCCCTAGGGAAAAAAAATTTTTTTCTGCTCTAGTCTTTTCATTTCCTTCCTTTTGCTTGCTTTGAATTTAATCATCTTTTCCAATGATCTGAGGTCTTTCTCCCCCCACACACACTCCTTTTCTTTTGGTATCAGGAATTGACCTCAGTGGCACTCAACTACTGAGTCCTATCTCCAGCCCTGTTTTGTATTTTATTAAGAGATAGGGTCTCACTGAGTTGCTAAGCACTCACTATTGCTGAGGCTGGCTTTGAACTCGAAATTATCCTGTCTCAGCCTCCTGAGTCCTTGGAATTAAATAGTAGTGGCACCACCACACCCAGCTTCTCCCTTTTTAAGATAGATGTTTTCTGGGAAAGGGAAGGGACTGCTGAAATAAATTGACCAAACTATGCTATACACATGTATGACTATGTCACAATGCATTCCACTCTTATGTCTAATTATAATGTACCAATTAAAAAATAAATTATTAGGGCTGAGGTTGTGGCTCAGTGGTAGAGTACTTGTTTAGCATGTGTGAGGAACTAGGTTTGATCCTCAGCACCACATAAAAATAAATAAATAAAAATAAAGGTGTGTTCATCTACAACTAAAAAAAAGTTTACTTTCTTATTAAACAAAATTATTAGAAGAAAGAGCAATAAAGGAGAGGAAGGGGATCAGGAAGAAGAAGAGGGGAAAGAAGGAATCAGTAGAGGGAATTAAAAATGCAACAAATTATGTTATATGCATTTATTAATATGTCAAATCAACCTCACAATTATATAAAACTATAAGTCACAACTAAAAACAAATTTAAAAGATATGTTTAATTTTTTAATTTTTTTTTTGTTCTTTTCAATCATTCTATGATTTCTCCATTCATTCATTCACTTAAATATGTATTAATTTCCCCATATTTGTGAATTTCCAAAATCTCTGCCTGTTGTTGATTTCTAATTTATTTTTTAAAGGAGACATTTTTCACAAGTCTGGAAGTGAGTTCTCAGGCTATGAAATAGTTGGAATCAGTTATTATTTGCTACTAGAATTTTCTAATACATTTCAACTTTTCAGGCATTTGGTTCAAGTTTGTCATGCATATTTCTTCATGATGAATGAAGAAATCTACTTTAAAAATAATCTTCATGGAATGAAAGTGGGCAGAAATTCTCACTGGCCAGGATTATTCATTTGATATTTATTCAGTGATATTTACCTTTACTATTCAATGCCAACCATCTGGGTTTTGTATATTTGAAGTTTTCTTTACAAAATCATCATGAGCCAGCTGTTTTTATTTATTTTTAATTTTAGGATCCACATGAATAGCAAACTGTTTAAAAGAGTTAGTGTTTTTTGCACTGGGCATATAGTCACCTAGGCAAGATTTCTTTTCCATGCATACATAATGCATCTTCAGTGTCCTAAATACCATTTTAAAAATAAATTGAATAATGCCACTCCCCAAAGTAAAATAGACCATGGAGAAGCAAACAGATCTGTGTTACTGAGGTAAATGTACATTGTCTTTATGGGCTCCATGATCATTCAGGACAGGCTCCTGAAATATGAACTGAACAAAGTTTTTTGGGGGGTGAGTGTGGGAATTTTCTGGGTTTTGTTTTTGTTTTTCCAGTGCTGGAGATCGAACCCAGGCCTTGCATATGTTAAGCATGTGCTCTACGCCTGAGCTACATCAACAGCCCCACATTATATATGTATAAACTTGTTCCCCCTTCCTTCTGAATAAACTACATGAATTCACAATGTATGCCAAATCAGCACACTAGACTTCAGATGTCCCTTAAATTGGGGCTGGTGTGTGGCTATCTATGGTGTAGCTGATGATCCATGAGTTTTCTAGAAGGTAATCATTATTTCAAATCACAAAATGTTATAACCCAGGAAGATCTTAGAAATCACCTGGTTGAATTCCTTCACTCTTCATGGTCTATTTCAATCACCACTACACCTCCGGCATCAAGCAGAATTCCTGGAACATACTATGTGACTCTCCATGTTGGGTGAATGAGTCTTCCTGAAATACGCCTGTTCAAGATTCTTCCTTTTGTTCTGTCATGTCAGGTCAGACTCCTTTACCTGCCTATCAAGTCCCTATATCCTTTGTCTTCACCATTTCTATACTTATATTTCCATTACTCTTCATCACAACCACCAAGAAGGCTGGTGGCCCATTCTTGCCTACATACCCCTATGCTCACACTACTCTCTTGGCTCAGAATGGATCTCCCTTCCATCCATCCAAATCCTACACATCCATCCTTTGAAATCCACTCCTTCTATGAACCCCTTCTCTAACAAATCTAGACCACATCAGTTTTCCTTTCCAGATTTTTCTCCTGCTTACAGTTAGCATCATAGTTTAATCATTTAAATGTTTAGCATTTCTATATCCTTTTGTGGTTTTAAAAGGCATATGTTTGCTTATGTATATTTGTTTACATATATAGACACACAAATATAGTCTTGTCAGGTTGGACATAGTAATGGAAAAAAAACAAAATTTTTCTCTTCTTACACTCAACACAGAACACTTCTTGTGATCAGATGTGTGGATGTTTTTTCCCACACATATTAAGCAGTTCTCTAGAGAACACCAAGTAGGTGTCCTCTAATTCAATTCAATTTTGTACTATCTACTTGGAGATAGCATTAGATCCTATAGGTTAAGGGCCAGTCCCACAAGACTATGCTTCTGACCAACTGGCTATAAATTAAGTTTACTGTGACCCATCCCACCCCCT